AGAAAATCACAACTTTTCATTTTCCGTCGGTCTTAGTACACGATGTAACTACAGAAGAGTCAAGTTTTAAATAGGAAAAATATAGAAACTCTTTGGTCATTTTTGAGCGAGATGCTAACGGTCTAATCAGATTCAATGATCTATGCTAAGCTACAGCTAAAAGTGCTACCGCCAGACCCGGAGATCGGCTGAATGGATTCGAAAACTTTAAAACTCAACTGTTTAACTCTAGGGGAGTTGGAAAATGAGCCTATTTTCAAAAGAGTGTTCCTTTAAAAGAAATATCTGTATCACATTTCACACCAACAATCAAAAGGAATAAAGCAGCACACGTTCTCATTTCTTAAATTATTACAAAAAATAATGAATGATTAAATGAATAAATAAATAAATACAAAACAACAACAATAGTACATTAATTAAATCATCCTGTCAGGGCACTATTTATTTATTCATTCATTTTTTAAAACATATTCTTAAAAATGTAATTCACAATTTAAATTGTGAATAACATTTGACAAACGACAATATCTAAATTGTTGAGTAAATATAGGTGAATCTTATCATATCCAGATCACCCAAAATCTAAAGAAATAAAGCAGCATGTTCCTCTAAAACTCTTATTTCCTTAATGTAAAAAATAAATAAATTATATAAAAAAAATACAAAAAAATGAAGTACAGTAATTAAATGATCCTACTACTGATAATTAGGAAAGGGGGATGTTAAGTGTGCTTGATTCATTCAAGATTCATTGATTGATTCAATTCAAGAAGTCTTTAGCCATTTTCAAAAAACCATCTAAAGACACATCTTTTTCGTCAGCACCTGACCAATTAATACTAGCACTTACCTATTCTATTTACTAAAATAAAAAATAAAAAACACCTTGCTATGTGTACTGTGCTATATTAACTGAGACTTGTATACTGCTGCTCTCTTGTTGGTCTGATTGCTTCTATTGTTCTCCTCATTTGTAAGTCACTTTGGATAAAAGCATCTGCTAAATGATTACATGTAAATGCTAAAGAAAAAAAAACTCACCATGCAATGGCCCTAAATTAGGTTAATTTTCTTGAAGTAAAATGTATTTTTCTTTTGATTTTGGTGTGAAGATATTTTGATTTGTTTCGTCAGTTTTTGTGAGATTCACTTATCATTCGACATTCATCACTGATTCTTTTAGATTCATTTACAGCACAGACTCAGAAGTGAAGGGTTGTACTTTGAGGAGCAGATCTCCCCAGCTGTTCCTCTGGAAGGAGGAGACGGTGAGGTGCAGCGAGTGAGCGTCAGGCAGACAGTCGTCCTGATGAATGAAGCCACGGGGAAAATACAGCAGATCGCCAGCTTCCAGCACCACGTCCATGATGGGCTGCCCGATCTCGTCCTGACTGAAATTAGCTTTAGGAGAAATGCATCAGAGAGAGAGTTTATCTCCTTTATAAGTAATAAAACGCTCGTTAATATGACCAGCTATGTACATAAAGACTGTACTTACGACTGGACACCAGTGGCAACACTTCATCTTCAGATCTAAGGGACGACAGAGGCGCTACTAGTTAATACTCAAGATTTTTTTATTTTATTTATGGACATGACAGCTGAAGTTGAGAGGACTAGTTCACTAAAAAATTACAATTTGCAATTTACTCACCCTCAGGCCATCCAAGATGTAGAAGAGTTTGTTTCTTCACTGGAACAGGTTTGGAGAAATGTAGCATTACATCACTTGCTCACCAATGGATGCTCTGCAGTGAATGGGTGCCGTCAGAATGAGAGTCCAAACAGCTGATAAAAACATCACAATAATCCACAAATAATCCACACCACTCCAGTCCATCAGTTAATGTCTTGTGAAGTGGAGTGGTGTGGATTATTGTGATGTTTTTATCAGCTGTTTGGACTCTCATTCTGACGGCACCCATTCACTGCAGAGGATCCATTGCCGAGCATGTGATACGATGCCACATTTCTCCAAATCTGATTAAGAGACAAACTCATCTACATTTTGAATAGCCTGAGGGTGAAAAATTTCAGCTAATTTTCATTTTTGGATGAACTATTCCTTTAAAGCGTAACTGATCACTCACTGAGGGTTGTACACTCTCCAATGCTTTTTGCCCTCCGACTGCAAAATTAATGCCTCTATATCGTCATAGTGAGGAGCAAAACCCTGCGTCCTCGCTGGTGTCAGATATCTGAAGAACATATTACAGTTAAACAATAACCGACAAGAGATTTTAGCAAATGAATGTAATAAATAATAGTGTTTATGAATCATTGTCACATACACATTTGCACCCACCATACTGCCAAACGTCTCCTGAAGAATAGAGAGCACTTGCCACACAGTGGAGGAAAACGCTTGAGGATTGAGCATTCGGAGAGAACAGCCGCTCTGACAACAGATGAAAAACAACATCTGTGAATAAACTTCACACTTTAACAGTAAAGTAAACATTGAGGCTTTACAGAAGTGCTATTTCTATTGTAATGACAGTTCTCCCAATTTTAAGGATGTTCGCACGACAGCATATCATGACCTTTATGCTTTTGTATCGTATAGTTTGATGTTGAAAGGATTTTCAAATGTTTTAGAATGACGTCTCTTCTGCTCACTGAGGCTGCTTTTATTTGATCAAAAATACAGTAAAAACAGTAATATTGTGAAATATTATTACAATTTAAAATAGCTGTTTTCTATGTGAATATATATTCAAATTTAATTTATTTTTATGAAGCAAAGCATCATTACTCCAGTCTTCAGTGTCACATGATCTTCAGAAATCATTCTAATATGCTGATTTGCTGCTCAAGAAACATTTCTGATTATTATCAATGTTGAAAATAGTTGTGCTGCTTCATATTTTGGTGATACATTTATTTTTTTAAGATTCTAGGATGAATAGAAAGTTCAAAAGAACAACATCCGTTTTGATTAGAATATTTTTGTAACAATGTGCAAAGTCAAAAACCCTTTGAACGATATATATACACAATCTTTTATAGAAGACGTGGTGACCAAAGCCAAAAATAGATACCAGTAATAATCATACAATCTCTCAATTTCATGTGTTAGGGAAATGTACCTCATAAAAATCCCACAGCATGTACGGTAGCGCTCTTTCTGGAGGATTGTGTGTCTTTCTTTTTCCGTTTGTGTAGCTCGTCACATCCAGGTTCACTCCATACTGAACATCATTCTGAACAAAACACAGATCATTATATCCGACAGTGACATTAGAGATACTGATTCTTTCTAAATCAAAGAGAAAAACTGCTTACATTTCTTAAGATGCGGTCAAACTCAGCCGTCGAAAAGAGTCCTTTGTAATAGTCTGGATTCTGTCGTTGGATAAGAATCGGTTTCTTCTCCCAATTCTCTCTGTAATGTGGAAAAAACAAGACCCGTCAATCATCTCTGATCCAAAGCGACTTCTAGTACACGTTGTGGATGAATTATTATTAAGTAACTTTAAAGGGGTCATATGATGCTGCTAAAAAGAACATTATTTTGTGTATTTGGTGTAATGCAATGTGTTTATGCGGTTTAAGGTTCAAAAACACATTATTTTCCACATACTGTACATTATTGTTGCTCCTCTATGCCCCGCCTTTCTGAAACGCGTCGATTTTTACAAAACTCATCGTTCTGAAAAGCGAGGTGTGCTCTGATTGGCCAGCTATCCAGTGGACTGTGATTGGCTGAATACCTCAAGCGTGTGACGGAAATGTTACGCCCCTCACTATACTGTGTTTCCATGTGTCCCGGCACGACGAGACAAAATCAATAAAACCCATTACAAACGAGGCATTTGTTGCATCCAGTGGTGACATAACTACTGATTATAATGACTTATACTGTCTTTTTACGCTTTGCGTTGCGTATTGCGCCGCGTAAACATAAAACCATGTCTGCATTTGTGATCGGAGAAATGACAAACAACAAGCGCTACTCTACATTGCTCAAAACTCACGTTTGAATCATCAGTGGCAAATTATTTAAATATAAAAAACAGTTGTTTTTTTTTGTAGTAGTAAAACAAAGTAGTTTCGCTTTCACAACGAAACACAGCACCTTCACGACATGGCAGCGGCTGCAACAACAATACTACAGCAAGAATAAAAGTTACGCCTTCTTTCTTTGCGTGCACATTTGGGAGGCGTTATGCAAATCTTCCCACACAGTGACGTAGACATGTGGGGGCGTGTTAGAACGAGCTGTTTTAGGAGGGCGTGGACAAGTCTTAACTTTTATAAAGAATATCTCTTTGGATTTGAGACTTTAGTCTTTGCAACTTTACAGATCTTCTTTATGCACCAAGAGCTTGTAACACTCCAAAGAGAAAGAAAAAATTGAAATTGTATCATATGACCCCTTTAATTCCAGCTGTAAAGCAGCTCTACAGAAGAATATATTACCAATATTCAGCTCAATGTAGTTCAATGCTGATTCAATTCTATGCAAGCCCTTTTCCACCACAGAATGACAAAATTTAAAAAGATAGTTGTGACTTTTTATCTCACAATTTAGACTTTTTTCCTCAGAATTGTATGATATAAACACAGAAACTGCAAGATATTAATTTGAAATTCAGAAAAAAAGTCTGAATTGCGAGATATGAACTTTCTTCTCATAATTCCGACTTTTTTTCTCAGAATCACAGTTCTGTTTTTATGTTTCTATCACAGTAATTGCGACTCTTCACCTCGCAATTCAGACTTTTCTTCTCAGAACTTTCAGTTTATATCTAAGAAGAAAAGTCAGAATTAAGTCAGATATAAACAAGCAATTGTGAGATAAAAAGTTGCAATAACCTTTTTTATTTTTTTATCCAGTGGTGAAAACAAGCTTCTACACAATTTAGTTCAATAACGGTGTCAATGTTAGAAAATTCATCAATTAAGAAACAAATTCAAGTTAGCTTTGTCTGCAGTCTCCCACCTGAAGAAGCTCTTGTCTTGGACTGGGTGAACAAGCCACTGTTACAGTCTGTTAGCTCTTTCTCTGCTGTTGTTGACCTTCTCCAGATCCGTCAGGAGCACATCAAGAGCTGGACCGTCAAATTCTTCACCGTTATGTGTCTCACGGTCCTTCTGCTGGAAAAACAGAAGATCATGAGCTTCAAATCTCCACTGATGCTCCAGTATCTGTCATCGTACGGTTAGACCAGGGGTGCAAACTTGGCCCTTCCAGGCCACTTTCCTTCAGAGGTTAGCTCCAACGCCAATCAAACACACGTGAACCAGCTAATCATTGTCTTCAAGACTACTAGAAGGCTACAGGCAGGTGAGTCATATCAGGGTTGGATCAAATCTCTGCAGGAAAGTGGCCTGGAAGGGCCAAGTTTGCCCATCACTGGGTTATGCTGCGTTCAAGTCCTCCTGGGACGTTCGTACTTACGAGTTGACAAGTTGTAATTACGACGTCAGGTGTGTTCAAGTCAGTTTAGTCGGCACAAGATGGCGGTGTACCTACTTTTAATAACTTACAAGAAAATACAACAGGGTCTGCATTTTATAAACTTGGATTTCATTAACTAGCTGCTTAACAAGAACATGACCAATTTAAGTTTATAGGACAACTAAACTATCAATTTAAACAAAAATTTACCGTCAACTACAGACATTGCATCCATCGATTCCACCATGTTTCTCATTGACACGCCCCAACTCGGAAAGTCAGGGCTTTTTGCAGAAAATTTTGAGTTTCCCACTCGTAATAACAACTTTGTGGTGCGTTCAGCTCGTAAATACGATCTATCCGACATGACTTGAACGCACCATTAGACACGTACGGCCTTAGATTTCTCCTCATCACTGCTGCTGAGCCTCATACTGGACTTTAGAGGCTTCATCCTTTTCTTTTTATTGGATTTCTTGTTTGGTTGGATGCCATTCTCCTTCTTTTTGATTTTCTTCGCTGGCGCAGCATTTGCCTGAAAGGCAGAAATCATGCAATTACAGCCCTTACAAAAAATGGTGGTTAATACCATGGTATTTTTTTCTGCAGGGGTCTTTTATTTAGACCCCTAAATGCCATCACCCTGGTGCAAGGGCCCACAAGCTTAAGGGCAGCAATATATTTTCATGAATAAAGACCACATGTATACAGTGAAAAAGTAATATACACTATTAGTTAATAAAGATTTTTTTTATTATGTTAATTACTGTATTTTTTCTACTCAGTACAGTTAGTTGTACTGTTAGGTTTATTACAATTAATTATCTATTTTTGTCTAACCTTTTTCACACACCCCAGTTTGAAAACCCCTGCTAATATTGAGTAAGAATTTTTGAGTGACAGAATATACCAGGTTTTTTTTTTAATGATTATAATATTTTTATACAGTTTTATTTAAATGGTAGCTAAAGAATGCTGTTTTGTTAGCGAGAGAACAAAGAAGTTTTGTACAACGTATATTGTATATATTTAGTGTGTATTCATTATATCAGAATCCAGTAATTAACAACTTTGAAATGATGGTTATGTTCCCTCGTAAAACGTTTTTTTTTCTTTCATGCAATTCCTCATAAGCAACAGTTTTACCTGCACTTGCAGTTTTGTTCCTCCAGATAATGACTGATAAATAGATAATGCGGACATGTGTTTTCTTTCCATGGCTCAGATGATCAGACGCATGAGCGCTTTTCCTCTGCTGGAGTCAATACTGACAACCAGCGCTCACACTGCCACCTACAGGTCTGGAGCTGCGCATACATTTTTTCAAACTAATTATTCTCACTAGATCCGTCCGTTTTTAATAGATCAAACACGCAAATACACGATTATCAGTAAATTAAGTCAGGGCTTTTTGCAGAAAATTTTGAGTTTCCCACTCATAATAACGACTTTGTGGTGCGTTCAGCTCGTAAATACGATCTATCCGACATGACTTGAACGCACCATTAGACACGTACGGCCTTAGATTTCTCCTCATCACTGCTGCTGAGCCTCATACTGGACTTTAGAGGCTTCATCCTTTTCTTTTTATTGGATTTCTTGTTTGGTTGGATGCCATTCTCCTTCTTTTTGATTTTCTTCGCTGGCGCAGCATTTGCCTGAAAGGCAGAAATCATGCAATTACAGCCCTTACAAAAAATGGTGGTTAATACCATGGTATTTTTTTCTGCAGGGGTCTTTTATTTAGACCCCTAAATGCCATCACCCTGGTGCAAGGGCCCACAAGCTTAAGGGCAGCAATATATTTTCATGAATAAAGACCACATGTATACAGTGAAAAAGTAATATACACTATTAGTTAATAAAGATTTTTTTTATTATGTTAATTACTGTATTTTTTCTACTCAGTACAGTTAGTTGTACTGTTAGGTTTATTACAATCAATTATCTATTTTTGTCTAACCTTTTTCACACACCCCAGTTTGAAAACCCCTGCTAATATTGAGTAAGAATTTTTGAGTGACAGAATATACCAGTTTTTTTTTTTTTAATGATTATTATATTTTTATACAGTTTTATTTAAATGGTAGCTAAAGAATGCTGTTTTGTTAGCGAGAGAACAGAGCAGTTTTGTACAACGTATATTGTATATATTTAGTGTGTATTCATTATATCAGAATCCAGTAATTAACAACTTTGAAATGATGGTTATGTTCCCTCGTAAAACGTTTTTTTTTCTTTCATGCAATTCCTCATAAGCAACAGTTTTACCTGCACTTGTAGTTTTGTTCCTCCAGATAATGACTGATAAATAGATAATGCGGACATGTGTTTTCTTTCCATGGCTCAGATGATCAGACGCATGAGCGCTTTTCCTCTGCTGGAGTCAATACTGACAACCAGCGCTCACACTGCCACCTACAGGTCTGGAGCTGCGCATACATTTTTTCAAACTAATTATTCTCACTAGATCCGTCCGTTTTTAATAGATCAAACACGCAAATACACGATTATCAGTAAATTAATCATTATAAATTCATTTTATGCTGATATGTTACCAAAAACATTTGTAAGCAACGTACTCTCGCGCTCTCCGCTCTGAGCGCTAGATGGCAGCACGCGCTCAACGCCGCTCGCTGTGTGTCTGCTGCTGGAGCGCGACGCGTTTCGCTGCACCTCAGAGACGCAAGAGTGGAGCGTTTTCGGCAGCCGAGCCGTTTACCGGGCCGTTTCTGTCCGTTACCGACGCCATGGACACGCCGAGGAACTGAAGTGCTTGAGGACCGACGTCCTTTCTGATGGATTTATTCTGAGGTAACTTACTGTAAAATAACGGTTGTGTCGTTCGAAAGCGGGTCGGCTAGCAGCGGCTAACATCAAACAGACAGATGCAGAAAAACATAAAAACACTCATATTGGTAGTATTTTAGTTGTGATATTGCTCTAAGATGAACACTGTCGCTCTTTAGCCGCAATATGTTTGATTTTTAGCTCTCTATGTGTCTAAAGTAACACTGCAGGGAATCAGTGTAACGTTAAGTTGGTCATTTAAACGACGCGTTGAACAAATCAGACAGACTCGCCTTAACACACGATATCAGACACACACTCATCTCATATATCAAGAACATTTAATCACCAATATCAGACACATTCTGATCTTGACATTAATTTCTAACATCTGCTCCGATCAGTAATATTGGTCACACTCTAATCTGGTTAATAGTGTATAACATCTGATCAATAATATCAGAATCACACTGATCTGATTTATAAATAAATATATATAATATGCTATCTGATATCTGTCAGTATCAGACACTGTTGTTATTTCTAACATCTGCTCCGATCAATAATATTGGTCACACTCTAATCTGGTTAATAGTGTATAACATCTGATCAATAATATCAGAATCACACTGATCTGATTTATAAATAAATATATATAATATGCTATCTGATATCTGTCAGTATCAGACACTGTTGTTATTTCTAACATCTGCTCCGATCAATAATATTGGTCACACTCTAATCTGGTTAATAGTGTATAACATCTGATCAATAATATCAGAATCACACTGATCTGATTTATAAATAAATATATATAATATGCTATCTGATATCTGTCAGTATCAGACACTGTTGTTATTTCTAACATCTGCTCCGATCAATAATATTGGTCACACTCTAATCTGGTTAATAGTGTATAACATCTGATCAATAATATCAGAATCACACTGATCTGATTTATAAATAAATATATATAATATGCTATCTGATATCTGTCAGTATCAGACACTGTTGTTATTTCTAACATCTGCTCCGATCAATAATATTGGTCACACTCTAATCTGGTTAATAGTGTATAACATCTGATCAATAATATCAGAATCACACTGATCTGATTTATAAATAAATATATATAATATGCTATCTGATATCTGTCAGTATCAGACACTGTTGTTATTTCTAACATCTGCTCCGATCAATAATATTGGTCACACTCTAATCTGGTTAATAGTGTATAACATCTGATCAATAATATCAGAATCACACTGATCTGATTTATAAATAAATATATATAATATGCTATCTGATATCTGTCAGTATCAGACACTGTTGTTATTTCTAACATCTGCTCCGATCAATAATATTGGTCACACTCTAATCTGGTTAATAGTGTATAACATCTGATCAATAATATCAGAATCACACTGATCTGATTTATAAATAAATATATATAATATGCTATCTGATATCTGTCAGTATCAGACACTGTTGTTATTTCTAACATCTGCTCCGATCAATAATATTGGTCACACTCTAATCTGGTTAATAGTGTATAACATCTGATCAATAATATCAGAATCACACTGATCTGATTTATAAATAAATATATATAATATGCTATCTGATATCTGTCAGTATCAGACACTGTTGTTATTTCTAACATCTGCTCCGATCAATAATATTGGTCACACTCTAATCTGGTTAATAGTGTATAACATCTGATCAATAATATCAGAATCACACTGATCTGATTTATAAATAAATATATATAATATGCTATCTGATATCTGTCAGTATCAGACACTGTTGTTATTTCTAACATCTGCTCCGATCAATAATATTGGTCACACTCTAATCTGCTCATAACGTTTGATATTATTAGACAGACACTGATGTAATTTATTATTCATATGTAACATTTCTTCTGATTAGCAATAGCAGGCACTCTTTAATCTAGTGATTAATTTATAACGCCTAGTCGATCAGCAATATCAGATACAGTCTAATTTTGAAATAATAATGATCAATAATATCAGACGGTGAACTGATATATTGTAATATAGATGCACGAGGATGTAATGACTCGCATAACCTGATGTGAGGTTTTTTTCTAATCATTTCAAATATCTGATATTGATTTTGTTGATGTTGAACATCGCATGCATGCTGCTGCTGTGATCTGATCTCACTTGACAGACTCAGCATATCAGACTTGTTCTTAATCAAAGTTTGACTCCGAGATCAAACCCTCACGATAAGCTTTGTATGTTATGAAGCTCAGATTCTGAATTTCAACATAAGATATTTTCAGTCTGACGCGTAATATCACTTCATTTCTGATATTGTTGATTAGAACATATTGTGAGTGTCCGACTCTTATATGCTCTTCACATATTCTGAACATAAGACGTTATAAATATCTGTGAATGATCGTTTTATCAGATCACCATGGTAACATTGATTGGATCCAATCAGTAGATCTACATCTGGTATTCAGAGTCTGTCCAGCCGGTCATCTGTGTGATGAATTTGGAGGAACAGATGTGTTAGTCTCTGATGAGTTGTGTTGAGGTGGTCAGTGATTGTTTAGCGTGCAGACCAGTTCTGTGTTTGTGTAAATGAGTTGTTTTCCTCCTAACCCATCTGTGAAGGTTATAACCCATTGCACGTTTTATAAGATATTTAGTCTCTCTGCCCTGATAATGGGTGACCATCTGTGCGATGCACTGCCAGTTCAGGCGTGACTAAAACAAATACTAAATCACCAAAGCATTTTTAGTCGTACAGCTCTCATTATAGGCGTCATCTGCTTTAGATGTGTGGAGTCTTTAATTTTGCATTTATTTGTAATTTTGTATACTAAAGAAGGGTTTCTGCCGATCTTAAAATCTTAATTTGCCCTTCCAGAAATGAAGGCCTTAAAAAGGTCAGAGTAGCACGTCTTAAAGTCATGGCATTGTGGAATATCTTTCTCAGTATTGTAGGGGTGCACCGATATGAAAATTTTGGCCGATACCGATAAGAGCTAAAGACGATCACCGGTAAACTGAAGCGCTCTTTTAACTTAACCAAACGCATTCTATATGAGATAAATCAGATATACATCAAATAAACACAATATTACAATGTACAATTGCACAAAAGGCTGCAAACGAACAGCGCGCATCTGAAGTGTCTCTGAAGGAAATAATGCATTATTTATCGGCTTTCAGATATCAGCCAAATTTTCTTATTGGGCCGATACCGATAACAGAAAAAATGAGCATTTATCGGCCGATACCGATATGGTGGCCGATATATCGTGCATCCCTACAGTATTGTCTTGTTTTCCAATACAAATATCTACATTTCCTTAAATCAAGATACAATTGCTTGAGTTGCAAAATGAAGATATTAAGTCACAAAATTAAGTGAGTTTATGCTTAAAACAAGAACAGTAGCTGTCAGTGAGGTATGAAAATGTGTTTTCAATTTGAAT